CACTGCAGACCATTTTAGAAGAAACATTCAACAAGCATGCTTGCTTATTCCCCTCTGATGGATGAAGTAGAGATATTGGCATGGAGAGCAGTGAAGCAGCTGATCGTTAGGGGACTAAGAGTCCCAGCCTCCCACTCAAAAAACTGAAGTCACTCCAACCCTGCTTACAGGAGAAGGAAAGAGGAGATTCATTCCCTCCCTAGTACCAAAAGCCACAACTGCCTCCGGGCTGCCAGGAGCCTGAGCTGCCTCCCTCACCTTTCTGGCTGCCAAAAGTCCCACATGTCTCCTTACCCAGCTATTAAAACTCAAGCTCTTCTCTGACACTAAACAATTTCTAATATGCAGTTACGGCTTGGCAATGCATAACTAAATAAATTGGAATTAGATATCAAAATAGGCCGAGGAATAGTGTAGTGATACTGTTTACTGACAAATGTGAAAATTAAAACTTCACTATTTAAATTTATTTGAAGCTGCTACATAATCTCCACACCATTAAGAAGCCAGAAGGCCTTGCTGAACAACCAAGATCCAATATACAGGGACTTGTCTATGGGGTTCATTCATACTGCCCATGATATAAGTTAAGCAGATTCCTGCATAGGAAAGTTAAATGGCCGCTGGAGCCCCAGGCAGCGCTGGCCAGGCAGCGTGGAAGGGCTGGTTGGGGGACGCTGACCCCCCCCCAGCTCCGCCCCTTCTGCCCAAGCCGTCGGCCCCCCTACCAGTAAGTTTGTAAGAATGCATACTGACTGGACAAAACTAGCCAACCAGCAACTCCAAGGCCATAAGAAGCAAATATGTAAGAATAATTCAACTGTTGTAAAATAAATACATACATACATAAAAAAAAAATGGAATACATGAAAGGACAGCTGGATTGAGGAGGGTAGCAATGGCTAAAAATAGATAAATAAAAAGGCACCAATTTTAGCAGGATAAGTAAAAATATAACAGTTACAAGGATTTGGGGTTATGATGCGGTTATATTTAGAATAAAATAGTTATAAATGAGAATTTTAATGTGCACCTGCATAATGTAACAAAACAAGACATAAAGAACATGTATTTAACAGAGGGAGGTGGAACAATGCAGGACATTCACCGGAGTGGACCAGCGTTAATCTAACACTAGCAAACAGCTTACCCGCACCCCAGAAAAAGGTAAGAAATGGTTATTCACCTTTAGTAACTGTTGTTCTTCAAGATGTGTTGCTCATGTCTATTCCACATTATGCTGTCTACTCTATCTGCTTTACTTATGCTTTTTGCTTAATTAAGGTGGTAATATATTGTCCTAAAATTTTCATATTAAAGTTTTAAACTAGTTAAGCTTAGTTTTGGTGTGGATTGTGCTTTTCATCTAACAACGTAAAGCCATCTTCTCAAGGCCTACTGATACTGTGGCAACGAAAGATTAAAGTAGGTTTCTACCTAGGTTACTACAATACCCCTTAGTCACTCACCAACCCTTGGTTATTCACTAACAGACCAGGTTCTGCATCATTTTTCTGTCCAGGTGGAGTATCTGCCACCTATTTCCTTCTCACTGATCACACAACTGAATAGAAATGGGAGACATCCTTTTTGAGGAATGTGATGGAGTATCTAGCCCAACACAGGTGAGGAATGGATAAATGTGGGCTGGAGGCCTCCATTAAAGTATCTGGTTGAATCTGGCAGGCTTAATGAAAGATGAAACACAGCTGGGGAGGAGCTGAATAGTTATTACAAAGATAAGCGGTGCGGGTGGTAGTATGAGACTTCTGTGCTAAAACTCAGACAAAGAAGGGGATTGTTAGAGTTGAAGATAATGATATATAGCAGGCCCTAGATAGAAGAAATGAAGTGATTTTGTTTAGAGTACTAACTGGCTATTGTAACTTAAAAATCTTTTTTAGAATAAATAAACACAAAGACAAACTGTGTTCTGTAAGATGGAAGAAACAATTGATCACTTTTTAAGGATATGTAAAGCCTTTGCTAAAGAAAGGGAAAAGATTTCTGAGGAATTCAAATTTCTTAAAGTAACAAAAGCTACACTGATATTTAGTAAAAGTATCAGGGAAATAGAGTATTCTTAGAAAGGTGTTATTACGTTACTTGGAAGACCAGGCAGAGCGAAAGCATATAAACCACTATGTAGGAATTATAGTTGGTGGCTATAGATGGGTGATATTCAGAGTGAGGCTCATGAGCCACAAGTAGCTCTTTAATATGTCTCCTGTGGCTCTTGTAGTCCATGACTTTAAAACACTGGTTAATAATTAAATCACACACTCAGGATGCTTTTATTAAGTTATTAACCAATTGCAGTTGATAAAATAATACTTGGTCAGTCATTTTTCTGTGAGAATTTTATTTTTATATATATATATATAAACAATGAATTCACACTACTGTGGCTCTTTTGGGTAATGTTGATTGCTAATTTGGCTCCTGAACCAGTGAGGTCTGAGTATCACTGCTATAGACTATTCAGTCAAGTCTGCTTTGCCATTAAAAAAAAAAAAGGGGGGGGGGGGGGAGGCGGGAGAGCCCTGAAGGGAACAGGAAGGCTCCTGCCTGGTACAAAGAGCCCAGGAAGGGGCTGCTATGGTAGGAAAGAGTCCAGGGATATGGCAGCAAGGGGTCTGATGGAGCCAACTTCGTCTGCTTATTCTAGACTGGAATCCAGTGGCATGGGAGGGTCTGGCCACTGGAAAAGGTGGTGCATAAACAACCTGACAAGGGTGAGCAGGACTCCAGAGTTTGGAAACAGGCCTCCAGGAAAACAGCCCTGGGAGGAGTTGCTCTGTACAAGGGCAGTAAGACAATGCTGCAGAGCCGAAGACGGGATGAAGAGTGCAGAGAAGTGAGCCTGGATATAAGTGAAGAGTTTGAGTTTAATTTATTGGACTCCTAGAGAGTGCTAGATGAGAACCTGCTATACTGCATTAGCCACGTGGGGCAAATCACTGATCTCCAGTTGGGCTGGCCCTATTCTCAGAGCTCTAAAGAAAAGGGAGAGAGGCTACAAGACTCACTTCTGGTTTCTTTTTGTCAAAACAGCTGAAATTTGGCTACTTAAAGGTACGGGAGGAGGTTCACTGCAGAAGTGCACACAACTGGAAAAAATGAGTATGAGCATTGGTGGCAACGTATTTGGTAAAATACCATTATGAAAGATTTCAGAGTAGCAGCCATGTTAGTCTGTTTTTTTTTCTCCTGCTGATAATAGCTCATCTTAATTAATTAGCCTCTTACAGTTGGTATGACTACTTCCACTTTTTCATGTTCTCTGTATGTATAAATATCTTCTTACTATATGTTCCATTCTATGCATCTGATGAAGTGGGCTGTAGCCCACGAAAGCTTATGCTCAAATAAATGTGTTAGTCTCTAAGGTGCCACAGGTACTCTTGTTCATTATGAAAGAGTGTTTGAAGAAGGAATCCACACATAGAAGTTTGTCAGTTTTACAAGAGTGAGTCAAGTATAACTTCCAATTTTATTTGTTTCCAGGATTTCATGCACTATATTTAAAATATAGATTTAAATTACTAAATACATTAATATGTAGAGTGAAGCAACAAGGCATTTAGTTTTGATTCTTTTCTGTACTCATATACTTCTGTACTGGATACTTTTCAAATTGAGCTTTCAAGAAGACAAGAAATCTAAATGCTTCAGTGCACTTGTTTTTATGTACATAGATTTAGCTCAAACGTTTGTACTCTACACATTTTAATACCAAATCAAGCAGACCGTGATGCTGTACAAAATGACCAACTGGAGTTGTTTCTTCAGGTCAAATTTTCCTGATTTTCCTCTTGTAATAGTAGATAAGTGGCTATTGCAAGAAGATTAAAGCACAAAAAAATAAATGTTTGCTCAGTCTTTTGGAGTCATTAAAGAGCAAATACTATAAGGGCAATAATTCCATGAAATAAAAGCAAAAAAGGCATCTTTGAGTAGGAAGTTTTCTGCCACTGCCACTTGGGAGCTCATCTCTAACATTCTTGGATAAAATGTTGGTCCAATTAAAGTCAAAGGGATTTTACCATTGAGTATAGCGGGGTCAGGATTTTCACTCCTTATGTTTACAATTTAAACAATTCAAACATTAGACAGTGCTTCAACTTTTTACAACGTTAGAATAAGTTAGTAATTCTGCTGTGAAAGAATTAATATGATTACTATATCAGAGCATCTATGCCAAGCAAATTACTGTTAAACTTGGTGAAACATCAAAAATTTAAAAGTAACCTGCAAAGGAGAAAAGATGGGTTTGTGCTTTTTTTTTTATTGTTTCTGGTGCATCAAGAAGGCCTGAAGAGTTTTTCTCCCTGTCAGGATCTGGGAGGGTTTCTTCTTTCTTTTTTATATTAGAAAATTTTAGGTGTTGTCTGCCTTGGAAGAATCTGTGATGATTGGAGAACTAGCACAATGGGAGCTGTGCTATTGAGCAGTCAAAGCATTCTTAGGCTGTTAAACTCTGGGTTTTCATTTGTTTTGTTAGCACCTGTTTAAAACATAACTTTTAAGGAACATCTTGTCATTTCAATTAAAGTGAGCCCACAATGGCTATCTGAGAGGTTCTCCAACAAAACCAGACTAGATGTTTATTATTGGCCTATTCCTATTCCCATTGACTTAAAATGGGCTTTGGATCAGGTTCATGGCTTTCAGTGGTACCAGGATCAAAACCTAAGTGGGGGGTGGGGTGGAAAATTCCACCTCCCAAAAAACACTCCCACCTTTTCAGGCCATCTTCATATATCATAAACTAGTAAAAAGAGCACAAGCCTACATTTTTCAAAATCCTTTGTAAGCCAATTTTATCTTTTAAGAATTTGAGTTTTGGCCCGTTTCCACTTGCTGATCAGAGACATAAGAGAGACAGCCCTTGTTGGGAGAAAAACTGTAATTTTTTTAAAAGTTCAAAGTACAGTAACATGTAGTTATTAATACTTTTACAACAAGGTATGTCCATTTTAAACGTATATGTAAACACACTAGTCATCTTTCTGATGTTTATCAAATCGTTCCGATAGAGCCCTTAATATATTTCCTGGTAGTTTTTGGTGTCTGTCTCTTAGCGCTTCGATGGCAATCTTTGTCTGTTGAAAGAAAGAAAGAAAGAGAGGTGGAAACATTTTATATTATAGGAATGACGAGTCATTATTTTCTTCAAGTTTTCCCAAGGTTGTAAAATATATACAAAAAGTCTAAAACTCTATGGAAAGTGGTAAGGGTATGGGCAGAGGGGGCAGAAAAGGGAAATTCTTCACAAGATCCCATCAAACACTTGTTGAGAAAGAGTCTCATTTCCAGATGCTAGTGTATTTTCCTGTGATAACTAAGCATACTAAACAATTATATCTCGCTATGCAATAGTGACATAGACATGTTATCTCACTAAAGCCCTAATTGTAATAATCTCTAAACTAAACCAGCACTGAGAAAAACCTATTCAGTGTAAAATCCTTTGCCACAAGTTTCAAGAGGCAGTTTCTGTTTCAAAACTAGCTATACACTTTTCAAACTCTATTTTAAATGTTTACTGTTCATTAAAATATTCATGGCATGGCTAAATAAAAAGGGAGGTTTAGGATGTAAAAGGACAATTCCTTCAGCATTCAAATGTACTGTTCCCAACAAATCAGGTTTCTTCAGGCCTATTGACTCTCATCCACTATAATTAGGCTCCAGCTAAAATATGGTAATCAGCCAAGACACTTTCCTCTACACCCCACCAACACTAAAGAATTTGTTTATAAACCAGGTCAACTTGAATTTAGTTAAAAAGGTCAATGGGAACTCTTTGGTGCTCAAACTCTTGGGGTGGGGGAATCAGACTATTTTTGTAGGTGCCTAAAGATGGAATAATGAGCCTAGATTTAGGCACATAATTTTGAAAAACTTGGCTAATACATATAAATGCTTTGGAATCAGGAAATTTTAAATGTTTCTCATACTAACATTAACACCCACAGTGCTCCAGTAGGGCCCAAACCTCAGCCAGTTTACACCAAGTAAGGATCTGGCTTATAATATTTATCATTTGCAGATGACAGTCATGTATTTTCTTGGATTTCATAGATTCTAGGACTGGAAGGGACCTTGAGAGGTCATCAAGTCCAGTCCCCTGCCCTCATGGCAGGACCAAATACTGTCTAGACCATCCCTGATAGACATTTATCTAATCTACTCTTAAATATCTCCAGAGATGGAGATTCCACAACCTCCCTAGGCAATTTATTCCAGTGTTTAACCACCCTGACAGTTAGGAACTTTTTTCTAATGTCCAACTTAAACCTCCCTCGCTGCAGTTTAAGCCCATTGCTTCTTGATTTAATTTCCATTTTAAGAAAACTGGGGAGAGGAATAGCTCAGTGGTTTGAGCATTGGTCTGCTAAACCCAGGCTTCTGAGTTCAATCCTTGAGGGGGCCATTTAGGGGTCTAGGGCAAAAAACCTGTCTGGGGATTGGTCCTACTTTGAGGAGGGAGTGGGACTAGATGACCTCCTGAGGTCCCTTCTAACCCTGATATTCAATGAGAAACTGCCTCTGAGTTTTGGTATTTAAAGATGACCTGTAAAGCAAGACCTTTTTTTTAAAATTCCTCCTTTAGGAAAAGTATATAAAGCTAGTCTCAGGGATTTTCTTTTGTTTATAATATTCATATGAAAAGAAGGATCTATTATTTCTAATGTTTGTAGGAGAAACTTGATAAGATCACCAGAAAATGAAATTAGTGTTACAGCCTTAAGTAACATCCTGAGCCACATCTCTCCTTCCCTCCAAAGAGTCTCTGAGACTATATACAGATTGTTTACTCCCTCTGTCCCTCTCCACCATAAATGAAGCAAAGTGTGGATTCCATTTCTTAGAGAGAAAGGGATTGTGTTTGGAGAGATGCAACAGAGAATACATCCATGTAAGACCTCTAGTCAGGTCTGCTAGCAAAGAAAGGAAAGGAAAGACTATAGCCACCTGACATTTTTACTTAAAAAAAAACAACCCTAAACATGCCACAGAAAAATGTCATGAAAAAATATGTTAAGGTAGTCCTACATCAGGAAGAACCAATGGAGGGCACAAACAAATAGTTGCCTTTGCTTGCAGTGCACCTTTAAAATATTCCTCTCCAAACTGTAGGAGCTTTCAGGCTCTCATGTATTGAAAGTGATGTTTATCAAATAGCACTGTCAGCTATTCATCAGCAACTTAAATTCACAGGAGTACCATTTATCCCAGATTAAGCTCTCTCACATCACAAATGAAGCTTCACTAACTGCCACACCTGTAAACTTCTGGGTTTAGAGTCAAGCTGTATTCCTTTCTCCTGCAGAATATTTTAGTAATGAGGAGTCCTATTAAGTTACCTTCATTTACTCCTGTGCAATCCCATTGTCTTCAAAGAGGAGACTACTGAAATCTTGCTGGTTCAGCTTTGTGCAGGAGTGTCCTTACAGCCTTTGAAGCTGGTGAATGATCCTTTACCAAGCAAATATAGGAGGAGAAAATGGAAACCTCCTAAAGTCCAGGGGCTGCTTTGTCATTTTGCCTGAGTAAGGCCTCTACCCTTTCCCCTTGTTCCTTTGAAAAGAAGTCACCCTTTCCTTTGTGGACCTTCTCTTTGGCCTCTGCATCTATCTTAGATGACAGAACAAGGTTGGATTTGTTCCTTGGAAATTTATAAAAGCACAATGTGTCTTTTCACATTACTGTTAATTCTCAGTCCTCTTTAATTATTCCTCTCATTGGGTTTAGGGTAAGTCGTGTTTCCTTTTTCCTTCTTTTTGGAAGCGTCTTCCTGTGGATGAATGGATGGACATTCTTTTTGGCTACATGCCTCCAACCGTAGTGAAGCAATGACTCTTGTGTAATGGAGCCAAAAGCCATGCTTGGGTCACCGGAGTTAGATTTCTCAGCATGTCTAGGGGACTCTGGGTGCCCAGGCCTGAGGGATTTTGGGAAGTTAATGTGTGTTGAGGAAGGGCAGGTACTGCAGAGAGAGGGGAGATTCTAATGTAATTCTGTTTCTTTCCTCTCCCTGGCTTTTCCCATTGTACATTCAGGAGGTCCTTCTCGGTGATGGTGGTGGTGAAGGGGAAGAGGAGACAGGATATTGGTGATCTGAATCTAAGGGAAAGCAAATAATTCTCTGAACTTTTAAGTGACTGAAATTAAGTTTATGTTGGTGGAGGAACGTAGCTGCTCCGATATTCCCACATCCAAGTAAGTGGCTCAGTCTGGAACATAAGAACATAAGAACATAAGAATGGCCCTACTGGGTCAGACCAAAGGTCCATCTAGCCCAGTATCCTGTCTTCCGACAGTGGACAGTGCCAGGTGCCCCAGAGGGAATGAACAGAACAGGTAATCATCAAGTGATCCATCCTCTGAGAACCTGGGAATAGAAAAGATATTTTCTTCCTCCTGGGAGTCAGGCCTGCATTTGAAGTCATTTTTGATTTTAGAAACTACTTTGTGCAGCTCCTCAACTGTCTTCTGCTTCTCGAGACATTTTATGCTGTACTTGTCACTGTGGAATCTAAATATACCACAAAATAGAAGAGGATAAAAAGCAAGAGGAAAGAAGTAATAATAATACAGTCCCTTTAGCTCCCATAGAAAATAAGAGCAGAAAAAGATTGCAGAAACTGCCTCAGGGAAAGCTGCAAATGTAAACAAAGGTCTGAATGTAAAAAGTGTTCACTCTCAGGTGAACCCAGCAGCAATCCAGTCAGCTTTTTACCTTCTTTGTCTTCTCTAGAAGCTTGTGTCCTTTGCAGACCTCTTCACCATCACTTACACATTTGTTACCTCAATATTAAACTAAAGCAATGTGCTCTAAATAGAATTATGCATTGAAGGCATTCAGAGAGTAACACTGGGGCAGAACACAGCAGCTGTCTCAGTGAAGCATTTTTCTGGGAACTCATGACATAAGTGCTCTGGGATCTGCACTGGCTGTGTAATGGTGCTATCTAACTCCAGGTGGAGTTTAAGGTATTGGTTATGACTTAGGAAGCCTTAAATAGCCTGTAACCTGCCTACCTGAGCTGGGCCGGCCCACAACATTTTGGTACCTGAGGCGGGGAGCTCAAATGATGCCCCCATACCCCCTCGCTTGGGCCAAAACTTTGAAAGGTCTCAATTCTGCCTTCTTCCTGTTCTACTCCTCTCATGGTACTGCTCTGCTACCTACCCCAATAAAGGAGAACTAACAATTTAAAATGCCTTGTTCAAAAATTTTAAATAACACTTAACTTTCAAACACCTGAACAGCAAATGTAACTTTTCTTGTCTGCATAGTAAACACTGGCATTTTTATCTGTTTGAATAATCAAAGTGGTGCTTTCCATGCCTTCTTGGTTGCAAAGATATAAACTGCTTCCTGAAGGTCCACAGTCTGGGCCAGCTCATGCTCTATTGAGATGGTTGCAAGGCCGACCAGCCTCTCCTGTGTCGTTGTGGAGCGTAGATGTGTTTTTATTAACTTCAGCTTGGAGAAGCTGCGTTCTCCACTGGCAACTGTTACAGGAAGTGTTAGAAGTATGCACAGAGCACCAAAAACATTTGGAAAGAGGATGGTCATCTTATTTGTGCACATATATTCCAGAACAGCCTTTGGAGTTGATCCTGCTGAAATATATCTTAAAAGGGCTTTCAGTTCATCACCTAAATCACTCGCATCAATATCGCGCATGTCATCATGTGTCAACACTGTCTCTAGTGCCCTGCATTGCTGGTGTAGGTCTTCTTCTGGTATAGTGAGGAGTTTTGGAATATCATACAACATCCCAAATATACTGCTGTGTTCCTTGAGCTGCATGAAACGTTCTTCAACTGACTTTATTGCACAATCTAGCACCTGATTAAAGAATTCAACTTTGAATTGTTGTTTCGGGTCTCTTTATGGGATTATCCCGTGCCTCGTAATCAAAATGTCTTCTTCTTCGGTGGCTCTTGTATTCTTGAATGGGTGGGAAAATAGCTTCAGTGTGAAGTTCCTCTGCCAACTTCTGTGCACTCTTCAGAAGATTTTGAAATCCCTCATCTGACCAGTAAGACTGTAGGTATAACTTTGCTTTGTCCAGCTTTTCCATTG